TTTTATGTCACTTTTCTGAGCCAGTTTCTGACTATTTTTTCTGAGACAATGCCTTCAGAGAGGTTTTGTTTCAGACATTGGAATAAAATAAGTACTTCTTATGGAGGGAAAGATGAATTTCTCTGAAATGACACTGCTCTCCTGGGAAATCTGGAATAAGGTCATTGATGAACTACTCATCTTTTCACACATATCCTCTGGTGGAAGAAAGGCTGGTGGCATTTTGCAGCAGTCTCTGTACTTTGCCATGCTACTTCTGTTGAGTTCTTTTACCATCTGTTTCTTGCAAAAAGTCAGGATAACTGGTCCTGTTTTTCTTTCCACACTTCCTAAAACAGTAAAACTTGGCACTGCAAACATTTTTGTTCCCTGGTAGCTTTCCATTTCTCAAGGGCACACCCATGACTTGAAGTCACAATGTGTGGTCCAGCATGGCATTGGTGCTTGCTGCTTTTATTCTAGCGATTTTTCTCTCTTCTCTTGGAACAAGGATGTTAATGGATCATGCAGGAGGTCCAGCCAACTAACTGAACCAAAGTAAGATGCTCTTACCTTGTATGTTTGTATTATCTTAAATATGTAGGAAGGAAAACCTACAAAACCCACACTATATAAAAAAGCCCCAGATACCTGACATCAAAACAAAGTGGTTTTGCATGTACAATGACTATTCTGCTTTAAGTATCTACAGAAATGGCAGTGCAAATGATGACTTTTTACTTACTACTACTAATAAACTACTTTAACAAGTGTGTTTGTGTGTTTTGAGGCTGATTTGTGGGGGTTTTTTTGTTTGGGTTTTGTTTTGGGTTTTTTTGTGTGTTTGTGCTTTCTGGTTTTGTTTTTGTTTTAATTTTGTGTTATGAGGGAACCAAACTAAAGAATTGGCCTCAATGTATCTCCTGGGACTGCAGGGGCACCCCCATCTGAGTGTACCTTTATCCTTACTAATTGTCTTTTAGACCAACCTTGACTTACTTCTCAATTACAAACTATGAAGCAAAGATTTGGGGATCTAGACGTCAGTAATGGCCTTATTCTAGTGACTACACTGACGCGTACTTTCCAAACTTGCAGAATTATTCAAGAGAACTTAGAATGAAACAGTTTTTGTGTCTCCTATCTCCTCCCACAAAATCCCTGAGGTTTCTGGTAGTTTGGTGTCCTCGCCCTATGGTAAGGACAAGAGAATGCGTACTCAACATGAGATTGCCATGGCATTTTCCAACAGGCAAAAATGTGCCTGTCTTCTGCACGTAGATTCTGGAGAACAAACAAAATTATAAAAATATAGAAGGTTTCAGAGGTCTTAGGAGGAAAAATAAATTTATTAGAGTACAAACTATGTCTTATCCCTTGATTGTGGCTGAGTTTTGCCAGACCATCCAATTTGAGAGAGATTCACTTTGGGAGGTAGTTTTCAAAACTATTCATTAGAAGAAAGGTATGACTTACAAGCAGAATGTTTCAATGAGAATCTTAAAAGCTCTGTATTTTCTTCCCTCAGGAAGACTTGGTACTACTGGTGAAATGGCAGCAGGAGACGAAATTGAAATGCTTTGTGCTACCTCAGAAAGTAAAGAACTGCTGTGCCTGAAACTCTTACAGTGAGGAGAATTTCCAAAGCCTTTACACAGACTTCCTGAAAGGATATATCTTAAAAAAACACAATATGTTAAAGCAATAATCAATACAGTCATCTCTGAGTACTTGGGCAATAGTGTGGATCAGTAAGTCGTAACAAAAACAGAGATGTGAATTCTGCTGTTTTGAGAAAAGACAAACTCCTCATTCCAAGAGGAGCATTCTTCCAACAAAGGGGGCCTGACTGCAGCTTCTTGGGAGTGGATTGGACTTTGGCTCTAAGAAGTAGAAGCAGTTATGAAATTCTCACCCCTTGTGTGACCTGTCTTCAGCTTCAAAACAACAACTTTCCCCCTTTGTAAGGGTAAGAAACAGGTGATATATCTGTGGAGACAAATTAAGGTAATTAGAACAAGGTGACTAATTTTTTCCAATTATTATTATTATTATTATTTGTTATTATTTATTTAGAAATCCAGTGTAGTCAGTAGAGAGAAATAGATAATTTTCAGGCACTCCACGAACTCAGCTTAGCGCCTCTGAATTGCCACTAGCTTTAGAAGGAATCTCAGAAAATTACCTTAACTAGGAGGAGATTGGACTTAGTCATGAATTATACAGTGCTTGAAGAGAGATTACTATAATAAGTATCTTACTGCTTCCTGTGGTATGGTTAAGCAGAACAGAACAAATTCATCAAGAAAAAATCAGCTTGGCAAAGTAAAACGCATCTACAAATGGCAGGATTTTTGTGTGTATGGGACCTTAGCTTGAAAAATAAGAGCTGTATCAACCAGGGCTGCTCATAAAGCATTACATTCCTTTTAAATTGCTGGTCTATCTCTCTATCCCAGGAGCAACACAAAAAGTCATGCATAATTTCTAAATCAACAATAGAATCAACAGATTTTGAAACTACAAGCAATTTAATAATTCCACTAGTTAGAAAACAGAAAATTGGGAGAAGGGAATTTGAGTAGCACATACCTTCACTGTTACAACTTAATGTTAAAAAAAAAAAAGAAAGGCAAGTTTTATGGAAAATTACTTGGAAAAAAATTTATTTCTAGGTCCTTTAAAAGCAGGCCACTTGACTACATGAGATTCTTAAGGCAGTTGACTTATATGCTCTTGGTGCTTGTGTCTGAGAAAAAAAATAAATAAAATACCTGGGCTTGTTTAGCAATAAATTGAAACTTGCTTGGTTTGGCAAGAAGTAGTGTGGCAGGAGTAGCTAAATATTCTTGTGGGAGAATGCAGAAAATGAGCAACAGAATCCTTCATCCCTTAAGTATTAATATCTATTTGGGGGGAGATTTTTAGGCAGAGAAATAAGCATCCTAAAAATGCTCCTGCCCTCATTGGTACAGAAGATGCCACTGACCTTGATGGAACTGTATCATACTCAATAATGTTATCTTTTATTTTCCTACTTTATTTATTTGTGCAGTTCAGACAAACCTATCAAAAAATAAATTAATTTTTTTAATTAAAAAATTAAATCTATATACGAAGTTCAATTTTTTTAATATTGCTGAATCACTTTGATCAGTTTAATAAAAATCCTTGATTAGGAATTAAAACACTAAAATAATAAATCCCTCTTGGGAAAGGGAGTTGAATTTCTGTTAATAAGCACCTGATGAAGGTTTTCTGAGTTTTTCAGAGTTAATTGTGTCTTAAAACCCTATATGCTCCACTACAAGGAGAATATGAGGTTAAACTTACCAGTTTGACTGAAATTTTATAAAAACAACATCAGTGGTGCACTGTGGATATGGCTATTCATTTAAAATAATTGAATTTGGGAGAAATATCAAGTCAATAAATGTATTATAAAGACAGCACTCCGAAGAAAAGAAGAAAAAACAGATGACCTTTAAGGACCCTTCCAACCCAATCCATTCCATGATTCTAAGATTTTTAAAGATCCATTTCAGGCCAAATCTTTATATGGTTCAGCATTTCTATTTTAAGGCCTAAATACAGTCCTTCTAATACTTAGCACTATTCATGTCCCCAAAACAGCCACAAGAGTAATGTGAAGTAAAGCACAAGAACTGAATGCCCCTATAGAACACATCTTGTCAGTCAGAACTTCTCTCCATGTTACTCCTGAAGTCCTTCTTATGCTGTACCCAGAATATGGTGCACACACATTCAGCACAAGCATTAGATTTTGGTTCTAAAAAGATTTAAGCCAACGCCTTCTATCTGGAAATGCGCTGAGAATCAGCAAGAGCAAATAAAAAGGTTAGTGCTGAAAACAAAGGAAATAAAAAAGCTGAAAGGCTTGCTTAGGCTCTTGTTTAAGAAACACTGGAACAATGTTTCAGTCTCTTTTATAACTCAAATGCAGAGACTGTACACTTTTAGCCCTTTGATCAACACATCAGAATTGATTCTAAGCAGTAAGGAGTGGATAAGAAATAACTGTCTTTTAAAAATAAAAATGCAATATTTGAAAACGAAGTTGTCCATTATCTATCCTGCTGGTAGATTTTTCTTTATCAAATAAAAGTAGTTGCTTGTCTTCTTTTATTTTAAAATATTTAAAAAAATAAGATTTTTAAAACAACTTTTCTTGCTTTTTCTGAAAAGGTAATTTTCTTATCTCTTATTACAAGGCAATGTGGCTTCTAAAATTTGCCCACTTATATACCGAACAACAAAACAGATCCCTCTGCTGTTAAACTCCTGAGTCTCTGTTAATTTCAGTCATCTGTGCCCCTGCCAGATATATGATTCTCATTCAGCACTATTGTACTAGTTGCTTTTTGTAATAAGTAATTTTTATTCTACTCTCTTAGGATAGTGTATCTGCTTGATGTATAATTTCAGTAAATTCCCTCAAATTGAGCAACACCAACCTTTGCATAAATAGGAAATGAAGAGTATTGTCTTAAAAAGTGCTTTTCCAAGATTAATAGTGGCTGAAGCCAAAGCTTTTACTGTCTCCTTCAATAATATTTTCAATAACCATAAATCTGTGCTGAAACAATTTTATTTTTTTGAGATATAGAGATAAAATTATGACTCAGGATCAAGTGTCCACTAGTACTTGCTTGTCTGCCAGAACATGTACTCTCTGCATGCTGCCCTGTTTGTCCTCAGACAGTGGAGAGAAACCAGAGCAGAAGTGTAGGTGGCTGGGCAGAGAGGGGGACTGCAGGCAGGCTGAGGGCATCATCCTGTGATGAGCCCAGCTGCCCCTGCTGCCTACTCTGCCTTTGGCATCTGCTGCACTGTGAGTGTGCGGCTGCAGTAGGAATTCCTGTGGGAAGAAGCATGTCCGAAATGGCCCTGGGGCTCCAGGGGCCCATGGTTGTGCCCCTCAGCATGTGAGTGCACCCACGATGGGGCACGAGAAGCAAAAAGGCAATAGAAGGGAAAGAAAGCAGCACCCAAAGACTGTGTGAGAGAAATAACAATTTATTTCCTTTTCCTTGAATAAAGGGTTGCAGGAGCCCTGCTAGTGCTGCCAGAAGGGTGGTCTCTTGCAGAGCTGGGGAAAGTCCTGGGGCTGGGTGCCCTTCTATTTGGGGGTCGTCCAGGCCCACCAGGACATTGGTGCCTGCCCAGACTGGACTGGCTACGGCTGCTGCCCTGGGCAGAGGAACCTGCCACTGTCATTGCCTGCCTTGGCTCCTCCTGAGGCTGGTCCTGCTCTGCAGGGACAGGCACAGGAAGGGGGTGCCTGGGACTCCTGTGTAGAGTGGCCTTTGATGTACCAGCTTCTGTCTCCACATTGGGGCCTGCAGGGCCACTGGCAGGAGACCCCTCCCAGGAGCTGTTGGAGCTGAAGTTGCTGGAGCTGGAGCTGGCTCTGGCCACAGGGCTGTTGTTCTCATCCCTGACTGCACCAGAGTGCAGCAGCCTCTGGGCCTCTTCGCTGCACTGGCCCACAATTATGTTGATGGCACCATGGACCAGCAGTGCTGTGTGTTGCTCGAGGAGAGGCTCCAGCCCCTCAATCAAGGCCTGTGCATTCGGCCCCTTGACACAGAGGTCGTGCAGGATGGTGCTCTCTGCGGCCTCAACCAGCCACCACCAGCTCCGGTATATTCCCTCCAGCCTCTGGCGCAGCCAGGGCCGCACAGGGTCCAGGAGCTGCTGTCGTCCACGGAAAAGTCCTGCCCAGACCTCAGGAAGAAGGCCACCCCCGAACTCCAGCCCTGAGGTCCTCTGCTCAGGTGGGGACAGTGTCCCCTGTGGAGAAGATGGATGGGATGCCACTGGAAAATGGGGGCTGTTCTCATCCAGGAGATCAGGAGTTGTCCCTGCCAGGCTGCTGTCATCTGGCAGTTCCTCAGGGGCTGTGATGGCTGTCTCCAGGTAGTCGTCTTCACTGTCAGAAAACCTGATAGTCTCTATTGTTCTTCTGCAGAGTGGGCACGATGGATTTCTCTGAGCCCACCGCAGGATACAGCCCAGGCAGAACCGGTGACGACAGGGCAGAGTTGAAGCCACGTCCTTCTGAGTGTCCTGGCAGATGGAGCAGTTCCTCTCTATCTCCATGGCCATTTTTGTGCTCTGCAGCACACTGGTGAGAGCTGAGGATCAGGAGCTGCTTTCCCTCACTGGTGTCACACATTGAAAGAGGGAGAGGCCATGGCGACTAGTGTCCTGGGAAGGGGAGGAAGAAATGCCCAGGGCCCTTGAGAACAACACCTTCTCAGGTCCCTGCTCCCCTTCACCCACACCACGGCCACCCTTGTTGTCCCCCACAGCCAACCTTCACTGCTGCCAGCACCTGCAGTGCCTAGCTGCCTGAACCAGGCAGGGACAGGGAAACAGGCGTGATTGCTCTGGATCTGGCACTGAGATCTGCCAATGACAGGCACCAGTCAGCACCAAAGAAGCCTGGCTCAATCCTCCTGGCCTCACAGTCTTGCTCAGATGGAGTTCAGGTTTGAGCCAGACTAGTAAAGGTTCTGTCCTTTACTAGTCCAAATATAAGCAGTGGACGACAAGGTGTCCTTGTACATCCCTCCATGATGTCACAATCTGCTGCTCAGTGATGTCACACTCAGCCAGCAGGTGATGTCACAATATGATATTTGCCCTGACTAGCACACAGTGTCAGGAGAAAAAAAGGAAATAATGTTTCTTGTTTTCAACATCTCTATTTCTGTGTCGCTCTTTCTCAGCCACAGATGGTAATGTGTGTCATCCCACGTCATGGTCTCCTGTGAGGGGCAGAGTGGTGGGAATAGTCAGCATGGACTGCTTGCAGCTGGATGACACCTTCTCCTCTCACTGCCTTTCCCTAGGCTATGCCAGGATTTGGAGGACTTGGGTGGTCAGTGGCCAACCCTGGGTGTGAGTCTCCCACCCCTGTGGGTCATGCCCCTGCCTCAGGGAGAAGCAGAAAGGGGCATTTTGCTCCAGCCTCACCCAGTGCCACTGGCACTCACTCACAGTGCCAGGTCCCTCTCCGCTTGCCAAGTCTCCATACTTCTGAAAGACAGTGCACTGGTGCTCTTTAAAAGCATGAGCGATGGAGCCTGGCCCCACATCTGCAGGAAGGAGTTGGAGTTGCTGTCCCTCCAGAGTGGGGTAGAAGGGCTGGTGGCACCCTGCTCACGACTCTGGAGAGCCCAGGATCCATCACTGTTATGAGGCATCACAGTCTGAACTGTCTGTATAAGCTTTTGTTGTTCTTAAAGAAGTTGATTCACTTGCATGCCTTACATGTGATGGGGTCCCTGCCCACAAATGCTACAAATGGCTCCCTGGAACAAGCTCTTTCAACAGGCATTGGTAAACCAGAAGCACTAGGCTTTGGGATGTCTGCGGTAGCATCCTCCTGGTAGAAATCAAGGGAAAAAGGAAGAGCTCTTCAAAACACATTGCGCGCACCAGTCACCTCTGGAAGGATAGGGACAAAAAGGAAAAAGGACGGAAAAGGAAAAAAGAAGAAATTCAGCATTCAGCAAGAGGTGAGCTACTAGGCTGGCAGGGAGGTTTTCCCAAAAAGGGAGGTTTTCCCAAAAAATAAAAGAAAATGCTGAAGCCATTTGCCAATTTTTAAAAACGCAGAAAAATGATGTAACAGAAACTAAACTGCTGGGGTTCTTAATATATATTGCCATGGTTATACCGGGATTCCTGCTGGTCAGGACTCTTAATGTGACTGCTTGGCAAAAAGTTGGGAAGATAATGAGAGAAAGAGCAACTTTGGGAGATATGGCAGCCTTTAGAAATTTAACTACATGGACAGAATTTATGGACGCTTTAAAGACTGCACAAAAGAATTCAAACTCCTCCACGGAAAGTGACTCTAACCCTCCTTCCCCCCCCCCCCCAACCCCCTTAGACACCGGGCAAAGACATGGAGGTGGAGGGGGACCACCGGGAACGTGGGAGGAAAAAACATGGGAAGGAGAAGATATATTGTTGGGGTCGGCACTGTCTTCCCGCAGTCAGGAGCAGGAGGGAGATGTTACAAGCGGTAGTTCTGTGCTGAGCTTTTGCGGGCGCGCAGGCTCCGGGGAGCGAGTGCAAGATTTAAACCCGGAATCATTACGGGGGGGCGGTTATTGGATTCCTGCTGCGAGATGGAGGAATGCATGCAAGATGGCTTTTGCTGTGGGGCTGCTGTGGAGTTGCAGCCGTGTGGCGACCGCGTGGTTGCATGGATGTGGCCATTTAGCCTGTGCTGGGGGTAGGAAGCGGAGGTTTCTCTTCTGCCCCAGCAGCCATTTTCTCCCGGCCGCGTGGCAGGGGAGGGCTCATCTCTTCCGGTCCCGCGGCGCCGCCTGCACCGCACTGAAAAACAGCAGGCGCGGTGGGGTGAGAGGCAGCCGGGGTGCGTGGTGAGAACCCGTGCCATGCTGGGTTGGAAGTCCCGGCGGCGTGGCAGACCCCCCCGCTCAACCCTGGCGCGGCGCAGCCGCCCCGGGGCTGCCACGACGGTGACGACTCCAGCTGCGCGGGAGCCGGGGGAGCGAGGGACACCCCGGGGTGCGAAACGTGGTCTCCGGGCGCGGCTCTGCGCGGCCCCCTTGTGACCTAGGGGTTGCCCCGACCCCTGCCTGGCTCTGCGGGCTGGACTGGCCCCACCCTCACGCCCCCGCGGCGCGTTTGCACCCCCCGCGCTCACGACAGGACATGGAGGCACAGCCTGATGCAGCCCTGGCCCGGGGCCATCCACAACGGCAACAGCAACAATTACAACTCCTGAACCCCCGCCATCAAGACCAAAGAACTGATACAGCGTTTCCAGCAGCCTCACTCACAGCCTGCAGAACCAGCCCACCAGCCACTGCTCTTAAAGAAACAGCATCTGCCAGCAGCCTGCTACAAAGACTGAACTGTAACCTACAGGACATCAAAACCAAGGCATACACCCTTCCTACCAGCATAACTGGTGCTGAACCACCTGTGCAGAACTCAGCTGTGAAAGATCCCACAGCCCTGCAGAACCTCAGCACCATCGTCCACATCATGCACCGACTGCAGACCAATAGGGAGCTGGCCAGGTTGGCCAGCAGCCTGACAGGGCTGGCAAAAATCTCCAATCAGGCAGCAAGCCTGAAAGCATCCACAAGCACCACTGTAACCCTGCAGGACAGCCCAACACCTGCAAAGGCAACATCTTTGTTCAATACAACCTCCTTCAATGGACCTTTCTGTAACACGTTTTTATCCCCACAATCTCATAAGTTACTATAATAGTATGACAGAACCTCAGCATCCCTTTTACAAGCCTCATATCTTGACAAGCTATTGTCAAGAGATCACACAACACATTAAGAAAAATATTACATAAACAAACAAACAAAAAAAGTGGTGGGAGGGGAGAGGATATGGGTCTATTCTATGTGCGTAAACCTACATTAACTCTTCTTCCTCTTCTTCAAGATAGGAACAATTATCAGAAACAACACTGATGAAGCGGAACCAGAAGACACACACAGTCAATAACTACTGTCAATTCATACTTATGGTTAAAAAGCAGAACAAAATAAATATGCAGAACATGTGAGAATGAAGTGTGTGAATGGAAAAGTATGTGTGTGTGTGTGCGTGAAAATTCAACTACGCTCAATATCAACAATATCTCAATAAAACACACAATTATACAACAATATCACCTCAACCACATCAATTATCTTCAAATAGCAGTAAGTACAATACCCATACTGTGAGAAAAATCTCATTTATTAAATTTAGAAAATCGGCAAAAGTTTGCAGAACAAAAGGAATAAAACAAAAAGGAAAAATTAATTGCAACACATGTTGGGTGTGAGAAAAATCTCATTTATTGAATTTAGAAAGACGGCAAAAGTTTGCAGAACAAAAGGAATAAAATGAAAAGGAAAAATTACAACACGTGTTGGGTGTCCTAGGTATGCAGGATTCCCAGGAACACACCCTTCAATTCAAAAGTCCCGCCTTTTAAACATTCTTAAGGTTCAACCCCGTTTACGTCATAGAAGAGGCGTTCCCCTCTTTCTGGTTGGCTGTGTCGTGCTGGGAGGTGGAGTGTCCAGCAGCATGGCAGCTTCCAGGGCCAGCCATGTGGTATAAGGGGTTTCCTTACCAATATTCATTTACAGTTCCCTATTCCCGTTCGCATGTTTCCCTGACACCGGTTCCAGGCTGAATCCGGCGTCTTACAGCTCCGCGATACGCCCTATAGGTTAGTAAAGAAAAACTCTTATGTTAGTGATTTGCTGAATTCATTTGCTTGTAATAAAACCGATTCTTTATTTCTCACATTGGGTGTCCTAGGCATGCGGGATTCCCAGGAACACACCTTCTAATTCAAAAGTCCACTTTTTAAACATTCTTTACGTCATAGAAGAGGCGTTCCCCTCTCCCTGGTTGGCTGTGTCGTGCTGGGAGGTGGAGTGTCCAGCAGCATGGCGGCTTCCAGAACCAGCCATGTGGTGTAAGGGGTTCCCTTACCAATATTCTTTTTACAGTTCCCTATTCCCATCTGCATGTTTCCCTGACACTGGTTCCAGGATGAATCTGGCGTCTTACAACTCCGCGATACGCCTTACAGGTTAGTAAAGAAAAACTCCTGCGTTAGTGATTTGTTTAATTCATTTGCTCGTAGTAAAACTGATTCTTTATTTCCCACAATACCCTAACACATTTCCCATTAAAACAAGTTGATGTTTCTCACTCAATTACACAAGTACTCTCAGATAAAAAATCTTACATAAACCATATTTATAAACTCTGAATACTTGAAAGTTGCACAGTTAATAAAGTTATGACCAGTTTTAATAAAGGCCTTACCACTTTAGGCCCTGGTTTATACAAATGGTTAAGATAAGTTTGTTTCTGTTAAGAAATGTTTAAGAAAAAGGTTTAAAAATTGTTCTGTAACTCATCATAATTATAATAAGGAAAGGGGAAATGTGGCGGATTATGTTACAGGAAAAGTGCCGCAAGGCATTCTGGGATTTGTAGTCCTTCGGTACTCTGTTGCACATGCTCGATGGAGTGCTCAAATGTCATTGGTTGAGAAGGTCACATGTCTATATAAATTGAATTGTCTATATAAAGTTTTTGTTGTTCTTAATAAAGTTGATTCGGTTGCATACCTTACATGTGATGGGGTCTGTGCCCACAAATGCTACATATCACTACCTGGGCTGGGCTGTCCCACCACCACTTCTTGCCTCTGGCTACTGTCATCATGCAGATGCATTAGCCCATGCATTTCTCTCTGTTTGGAAGAGCATCATCTGTTGCTTTGAGGGCTGACTGGTGCAAGCCGAGGGTGCTGTGTGCCTCCACACAGCTCTGCTGCAGGGTGCAGAGATCTCCCTTCAAACCTGTGCAAATGGAGGGTGTCCACTACCACACTTTTGTGTTTAGCAATCTCTACATGGAAAAAGATGGAATTTGGTTCATGAGGACTCTTTGTGTTGTTATTGGGGGGGGGGGTATTTCTCCTTGCTTTAACAAGGGCCTGTTAAAGTATGCCATTTGTATTTCTTTTCATTTGGATTTGAACTTTGGTTACCTTTTAAGAGTTGTAAAGGTCCAAAGGTGCAGGCAGCACCTGGAATTTCAGAGTAACTACATATTCCCTGTTCCCTATGAAAGCTAAAGCCACAGATACTTCAGGAGATGCATCTCATGCTTTTAAAGGACTCTGCCTCAAGGTGCTGTGATACTCTGTGGAGTTCTTTGCACACATTTACCCCAGAACTTACCCTCATTATATCACTGCCTCAGTTGCATTTCATTTCTTTTTCCCTCCTATCTCATGTGTCCTGAAATCATAACATGACAGAAAGGCTGGGCATGGAAGGGACCTTTAAAGGTCACCTAGTCCAACTCATGTGCCGTTGTCAGGGCCACTTTCCACTAGACCAGGCTCATCAGACCCTCATCCAACCTGACCCTGAACATTGCCAGTGATGGGACATCTGCAACTTCTGCAGGGAACCTGTTCCCATGTTTCACTGGAGCAGAGGGGCAGAATCCCCTTCCCTGCCCCACTG